GAAAATTTCCCATTTTTGGGGGGGGGGAACTGCTGGATTTTGGCGGGGGGAAACAACGGCGCTTTGCGGGAGGAAACTGCTGGAATTTTGGGGTGGAAAAGCGGAATTTTGGGGGAAAAGCAGCTCACGTGGTGAGGTCCCAGAGGCGCAGGGTGCCGTCCCAGGAGCCCGAGAGCGCGAACTGCCCGTCCGAGGAGATGACGACGTCGCTGACGAAGTGCGAGTGGCCGCGCAGGGCCCGCTGGGGGATCCCGTAGTTGGTCTCGTCCCGCGTCAGCTTCCACATGATGATGGTCTTGTCTGCGTGAGGAGGGAAAAAAAAGGGATAAAATAGCGATTATAGGGGCAAATCCTCCCTCGGGGAGGCCCTGGGGGTGTCCCAGCGGAGACCGTGTGCTTTTTCCGTGGGCTTTCCCATTTCCTTCCTGGTCCTCCTGCTCCTTCCCAGGCTCCTGGTCTCCCTTTTTCCCCTTTAACAGTCTCCCCTGGGTCCCCTCTGGCCCTTTATGTCCCTTCCTGTCCCCTCGGACCCATTGAGGGTCTTTCTGTCCCCCGGACGGGGGGTCTTCCCTCCCCACAGATTCACTGACACCCCCCTCCTGCCAATGGCCTCTCTATGGCCTCTCCCACCAACTCTATGGTCTCTCCTGCTCCCCCAATAGTCTTTATGGTCTCTCTATGGTCTCTCCCACTCCCCCAATAGTCTTTATGGTCTCTCTATGGTCTCTCCGTGGACTCTATGGTCTTTCCCACTCCCCCAATTGTCTTTATGGTCTCTCTGTGGACTCTATGGTCTCTCCATCGTCTCGCCCATCAACTCTATGGTCTCTCTCTGCCACTCCTGGCCCTGGTGGTCTTTCCTGCCACCCTCCAACCCCGGTCTCTCTATGGTCTCTCCCACCTACTCTATGGGCAATTCTGAGGCCCCCCGTGGTCTCTCTATGGTTTCTCCCACCGACTCTATGGTCTCTTCTGAGGCCCCCCGTGGTCTCTCTATGGTTTCTCCCACCGACTCTATGGTCTCTTCTGAGGCCCCCCCGTGGTCTCTCTATGGTTTCTCCCACCGACTCTATGGTCTCTTCTGAGGCCCCCCCGTGG